ATTGATTTAATTTCTTTAATTCATTTAGGCCTGTTCAAATTGTCTATTTCTTATTGTGTGAGTTTTGGCAGATTGTGTCTTTCAAGGATTGGTCCATTTCTTCTAATTTATGAAATTTGTGGGCATAGGTGTCTTTATATTTAAAGTGGATTCTTGTAGGCAACCTATATTTGGGTCTTGTTTTTTGATCCATCCAAGGATCTCTGTCTTTTAATTGGTTTATTTAGAACATTTACCTTTAAAGTGATTTTTAAAAAATAAATAAATTTATTTATTTTTGGTTGAATTGGGTCTTTAGACGTGTTGCTTAATCTCCACATATTTTGGGATTTGCTGCACGTGGGCTTTCTCTAGTTGTGGCAAGCGGGGGCTACTCTTTGTTGTGGTGTGCAGACTTCTCATTGTGGTGGCTTCTCGTTGCAGAGCATGGGCTCTACGACGTGTGGGCTCAGTAGTTGTGGCACGCAGGCTCAGTAGTTGTGGCTTGCGGGCTCTAGAGCACAGGCTTAGTAGTTGTGGTGCACAGGCTTAGTTGTTTCACAGCATGTGGGATCTTCCCAAACCGGGGCTCGAATCCGTGTCCCTGGCATTGGCAGGAAGATTCTTAACCACTGCACCACCAGGGAAGTCCTAAAGTGATTATTGATATATCTGGATTAATATCTCCTATATTTGTTACAGTTTTCTATTTGTTGCCCTTGTTCTTTTCCTATTTTTGTCTTCCATAATTGTTGTGTATTTTTTGGTTTTAATTGAAGATTTTATAATTCAATTTTCTCTCCTTTTTTAGTGTATCAATTATGCTTTTTTTTTTTTTAACATTTTATTGGTTGCTCTAGGGTTTGCAGAAGACCTTTGAAACTAATTCAAGTCTGCTTTCAAATAACACTGTACATCTTCACAGGTAGTGCAAGTACCTTATAATAACAACATATTCCTAAGTCCTCCCTTCTAGCCCTTGTATAACTGCTGTCATTCATTTCACTTAATCATATATATACACACACACATAAGCAAATACATTGTTGCAGTTATTTATTTATTTTTAACTTTTTAAAAAACATCTTTATTGGAGTATAATTGCTTTACAATGGTGTGTTAGTTTCTGCTGTATAAAAAAGTGAATAAGCTATACGTATACATATATCTCCATATCCCTTCCCTCTTGTGTCTCCCTCCCACCCTCCCTATCCCACCCCTCTAGGTGGTCACAAAGCACCAAGCTGATCTCCCTGTACTATGTGGCTGCTTCCCACTAGCTATCTATTTTACATCTGGTAGTGTACATATGTCCATGCCACTCTCTCACTTCATCCCAGCTTACCCTTCCCCCTCCCTGTGTCCTCAAGTCCATTCTCTACGTCTGCGTCTTTATTTCTGTCCTGCCCCTCGGTTCTTCAGAACCTTTTTTTTTTTTTTTAGATTCCATATATATGTGTTAGCATACGGTGTTTGTTTTTCTCTTTCTGACTTACTGCACTCTGTATGACAGACTCTAGGTCCATCCACCTCACTACAAATAACTCAATTTCGTTTCTTTTTATGGCTGAGTAATATTCCATTGTATATATGTTTTGCAATTATTTTAAGCAAACATTTTGTGAATAATTAAGAATAAGAAAAATTAAAAATTTACCTTTACTTATTGATTCTCTGACGAATGCAGATCTATGATTCTTTCTTTGTGTAGATCTGAGTTTCTGGCCTATATTATTGTCCTTCTCTCTGAAGAACATCTTTTTAAAATTTGTTGCAAGACAGGTGTACTGGCATCAAATTCTCACAGTTCTGTTTGTGGAGAAAGTCTTAATTTCTCCTTCACTTTTGCAGGATAATTTCACAAGGCATAGAATTCTAGGTTAGTGGTTTTTTTCTCTCATTACTTTAAATATTTAATACATTTTCTTTTTACTTGCATGGTTTCTGAGAAGTCAGATATAATTCTTATCTTTGATCTTCTATATTAAGGGTTTTTTTTCTCCTCTAGTTCTTTCAAGATTACTCTTTTATCTTTGATTTTCCAAAATTCGAATATGATATACTCAGATAGAGTTTTATTTTGTTTTGTTTTGTCTTTTGGCAGTTGTCTTTTTTGGTGTTTTTTGAGATTCCTGAATCTGTGGTTCAGTGTTTGAATCAATTTGGAAAAAATCTCAGTCATTATTGCTTCAAATATTGCTTTTCTTCCTTTCTTTCTTCCTTCTTCTCTCCGTCCCTTCCTTCCCTCACTTTCTGGTATTCCCATTACACATATTTTACATTTTTTTGTAGTTGTCCCCCAGTCCTTTGATATTCTGTTCCATTTTTAAAGTTGTTTTTTCTCTTTGCTTTTCAGTCTTGGAAGTTTCTATTCACATATTCTCAAGCTTAGAGATTCTTTCTTCAGCCATGTCCAATCTACCAATGAGTCCTTCAAAGGCACTCTTCATTACTGCTACAGTGTTGTTTTTTTTTTAATCTTTAGCATTTATTTTTGATTCTTTCTTAAAATTTCTCTCTTGATTATATTATCCCTTTGTCCTTGCTTGTTATCTACTTTTTTTGTTAGAGTTGTTAACATACTAATCAGAATGATTTTAAATTCCTGGTTTGATAATTCCAACATTCTTGCCATATATGTCTCTGATTCTGATGTTTGTTTTGTCTTTGCAAACTGTGTTTTTTATTATGCCTTGTAAAGGTTTCCTGATAGCTGGACATGACATACTCGGTAAAAGGAACTGTGATATTTAGTAATGTGGTAGTAAGGTGTTGGAGAAGGAGAAGTTTCTGTTGTCCTGTGATTAGATCTCAGCCTTTTGGTGAACCTGTGCCCCTAGACTGTGACCTTCACAACTGCTTCTCAGTTTCTGCCCCCACCTACCCACATATGGTGACTGAATGGCTAGAGAGGCCTAGAGCTGGGTATTTAGGTCCCTTTGTGGAAAGATCGAGGGAACTGTAGTTGAGATTTCCTTCCCCCCACAAAGAGCCAGCTGGATTTGGGTACTTCCCTTCCCGCAGGTAGGTTAGGATCTGATATAAACCAGCAGATTAGGCTGTGGCAAAATAATTTTATCTGAGGGCAGACCTTGTTAAGAAGAACAGAATGCTATGGCATCTGTCAAAATGATACTTTCCCCCTCCCCCTCGAGGAATCAAGAGGGAAGTTTCACTGTGAGGACCTGGTAGGCTTTGTGGAGATAGAACATCCAAAAGTGTTCCACAGCCTACTATGACTGTGTCCTCCTGGAGATGAAAACAATTTTGTTTTGAAACAATTTTTTTAGAGCAGTTTTAGATTCACAGCAACGTTGAGAGGAAGTTGTATGCCTCCTGTCGCCACACATGCATGGCTTCCCTTATTATCAATACTACCCGCCAGAGTCATACATCTGTTACAGTTGATGCATCTACATTGACATATCATTATCATCCCAAGTCTATAGTTTACATTAGTGTTCACTCTTGGTTCACTATGGGACCTCTCCATTTCTTAAATCTTAGACTTGTCCACACTGAGCCTCTAGCAATTCATCAATTACAGTTCAGGATTTCTTATCTGACACAGGTTCCCATGGAGGTTTCCCCTGTTGGGTTTCCAAACTATTAAATGGCGATTCTTATATCTATTAAATGGTGATTCTGTCTCTTCAATTTGGGGTCCAGTGGTTTTGCCCTGTAACCTCACTTTTCTGATGAATCTAAGAAGAATTTTTGATTTTTCAGTTTATTCATTTTTTAACTTGTCATTAGGACAGAGAGGTGACATTTAAGCTCCTTACTTGCTGGACTGGAAACCAGAAGTTACCAACACTTTTTGTTGTCTATGTTTTTAAGTTTTAGCCATCCTAGTAGGTGTGAGGTGGTATGACTGTGGTTTTGATTCGCATTTCCTTAGTCATGAATGATACTGAGCATGGGGTATATAATTTAAGGAGCACTTGTAAGATTTTTTATTGAACTGAATTTCATTGTTTTAGGATAAGCAGAAGGAGTCTTTCAATGATTGAATTATTGCCCACTAATTTTGCTGGCCAGCTTCCATTTAGATAATTTTGAGAGATTCTTTCCTTACTGGTTTTTACTGGACTTCTAGATTGAGCATGCTTCATGAAGCATGTGACATAAGGAGTAAACGATAGAAGCCTAAGCTTGTATGTCATTGTAATTAATACTCATTTTAGCCAGGCAAATGTGATCATGTGATCATGTGATCAGAAAAAATCTGTACCTAACAGTGAAGTGTGACATTTTAAGAGTATCTATCATGTATTGTTTTGGGCTGCCCAACTGCCATTTCTTGGAGAAACCACCCTCCATCAGTTCATGTCATCTTGATAATGCTTACAATCACATCCTCTCCTCACCCACCTATAGCCTCCAGTCCCCAGACTACAGGGATGAACACAGAGCACATAACCCTGACATGGCCAATTTTACTGTCTTATGCACATCTTTTTTTTTTGTTTTAACTAATTACTATTTTTAATTTATTAATTTATTTTATTTATTTTTGCTGTGTTGGGTCTTCGTTTCTGTGCGAGGGCTTTCTCTACTTGTGGCAAGCGGGGCCACTCTTCTTGGTGGTGCGCGGGCCTCTCACTGTTGCGGCCTCTCCTGTTGCGGAGCACAGGCTCCAGATGCGCAGGCTTAGTAGTTGTGGCTCACGGGACTAGTTGCTCCGTGGCATGTGGGATCCTCCCAGACCAGGGCTCAAACCCGTGTCCCCTGCATTAGCAGGCAGATTCTCAACCACCGCGCCACCAGGGAAGCCCCCTATGCACATCTTTTTTCATCATATTTCCCTGACACCATCTCTTTTCCGTTTCAGTGTATACAGCTTCTTCAAAGTCTTCAAGATCTTTGAGAAAAAAAGTTAGCTCCATAGGCAAGTGATGACTGCAAAATATTAAATTTGTCATGATTTTAGGGATACCACAAATGCTTCTCAGTGAACACACATGTGCATCTCCCATTCAATCGTGCCTTTATTTCTTTCCAGGTGAGTTGTGCCTTGCGGTGAAGATGTTGGCTGGAAGGAAACTACTAAAATATTATCTCAGAGCTGTGAATAATTTTCACTTACCAGCTTGTCATAGAAGCAATCCAGATTTCATGGTCTTCATCAACCATTATTGGACATATGTATCACTTCTTCATTTCTGTGTCAAGGTGACAGAAGGTAAGACGACTTTAAGACTTTAATATGTACATGTGTACACTATTGAAAAAAAAACATACCATATCAAATACGTACAAGAAAAGTGGTAATTTCAGAAGTATCAGGAGCCGTTCAGATAAGAGGTCTTTGAGAGAAGGGGATATGTGCTTTTTTGCTTCCTTGACAATAGATGCAAGCCTTAATGAGTTAATCACATTGTGATGATCTCCCTTGAAGTCAGATTGCTAACGAGCAGTCTAACAAAGGGAACCATGTGTAGAGCACCAGTCCTGAGTTGAGCACTTAGTGCATCCAAGCACATGATTTCATTTTGTCTTTCCAAGAACCCACTGAAGAAAGTATGGCGATACTGTTCTGATAAATTAGCAAATGGGGGTTCAACAGACCTTAAATAAATTGACTAATTTTTTTTCTTCTCTATCCATGTCTCCCAGATGCCAATCTATGAACAGGTGCAGGGCTGGCTGCACGATAATCATCCCGGTGAAATTGTTTAAAATATAAATTCTGGGACCCTCACTCCTGAAGATCCTAGTTTGATAAGTTTAGGTTAGATTCAGGTGTTCTGCTTTTCTGACAAAGTGATTCTGTTATACATCCAAGTCTGGAACATGTCTTCTATACCCCATGACCTCAGACTAGTTCAGGGAGTTAAGTTGGTGTCATCTCTTATGGTAGATTGGAAAAGGCTGCTGAGAGTCCTGTACTGAAAGGCTTCTGAGGCTGATGGGGAGGTATTCTGTGATCCGTCAGTGATGAGGCCAGATGGAGGGAGTAGAATCTTCCTGCCAAATATCGGCCAACTGTGATCTAGATTGTGACAGTTGGTAGGTGGGTGAGGAGGGAAAAAAAGGAAAGTAGAGAATATCAGTTACATTTTGATTAAAAATTGTCTGAGAACGCACTAAATATTTTATTCAGCTCTATGTAACCCCCTTAGCTATGTCAGAAACCTAAATGTAGCTCTTGGAAAAATACTAATGATGACCAAAGTACAGCGAGCCAAATAAAGGAGATAAGCCAAAATACTCTTGCAAATCTCCAAGATACTGGATTCCTCCACTGTCCCAGTCCTGTGGGAATGCCTGTGCCAGGAATATCTGGAACTCTGTGTAACAGCAGCTGCCATGTACCCGTGTTCTTTCTGTTGCAATCTTATTTCTTGTGGCAGAAAAAAATGTGGCTCTATGCATTTTAGCAATTGATCAAATATTCCTTATTATTTCATAACTTTCGGGAGAAGGCAAATGCATTTTATAGTTCTGAATTGTGTGGGCTTATTTTTCATACTTTATTTTTTAGTGTTAATATCAGTTGTGTACACTATATTTGGAGAAACCAGTTTGGAAGGTGGGTCTGATAAAAATATACCTAATAGATACAGTGGCTGTCCTTTCTTAGATATATTCATAGAAAGAAGTGGATAAAGCTGCACCTTTAAATAGAGAAAGGCTTCATTTTAGGGTTTAATTATCCATGACAATGTAGCCATTTTTAAGGGAGAACTCCATACTTGGGAGTCATTTAGTCTAGGAGAACTGTACACACAGTCCTTGCTGTAACACCAGAAACTAGGGTTGCTGCAATTCCTATTATTTCAGTGACCATCAGCAGGTAACCTGTGGCAGAAAGGCTCTTAGGATCCTCAATTCTTACTTTGCTTTCCACTCTTGTGGACATTGCTACTTCCTTCTGTCCACTTGGAGTTGAAGGGAACCGATGCACAAGGTCACTTTCCACAGCTAGTGTCAGAGATGACCTTCGAACTGCTTAGTTACCTCCCAGCCTTTAGAAGAGTTGTGAAAGAGACATATAGCAAATATAAAGAGAAAGATGTTGCAATTGCCTAGTGATATCTATCATCAGACCAGAACTGGGAAGTTGCAACCCATGATTAGGATATTTACCATCTTTGATTCATATCAGTAACACTGGCTAGGTGAGTGGGGAATAAAATATGTCAGGCATGATGTTATTATCAGCATGAAAGTGGGAAAAAGCAAAAAAACTTGACAAGAGGAATGGCATGAAGTGTCTGGATATAATTTCCACAAAACCGAAACTGAGCCTTCACAAATCTCTATAGTGCCAGAATTATTTAAAAATAAAAATTAATAAACACTCATAGATACAACTGCTAAATGAATTTTAAAAATATAATTGACTTTGAATTATACGTGCATTATTTGTCTTTGTTAATGACAATGTTCCATTTCAAAATTCATAAGGTGTGAGTTCCTAGAAAAATCGAGTTGGAAAAATAATTTATTACTTTGCCATTCATTCATCAGGACATGGAAATTGGTCATTATTTTGGTAAACAGTTTGAAGTTCTGATGTTACCCTCAGTTTTATCCTTGTAACAACTAAGACTCAGTGTCCTAAAGATAATTACATTTGTTTTACAAGCTAACTGGAAAAGTGCTGAATAATTGTCACTGCTTCGGAGATTGGATTTTGTGGCGATTTTTTTTTTTTTTTTTTTTTGCTAGCACTGCATCCAGACACTTTTGATGGAGGGAGCTACAGTAATATTAAAGAATTGTTGACAGCTACTCATAAGAGGGACTTTTACATTTGTAAACAAAACAACTCTGTCAAAGCAAATGTCAAGAGGTTATTTTAACCTCTGTTACACCTCATAATGCATTTCTCATATATTCTGGAGGAAGTGTGGGGTGAGTGGGAAAAGTAATAGATGGAGAAAAGTCTGTTTGGCAGACCAAATGACAAGGAATGAAAAAGTAAGCCCAGACAATAAAAATATGTTTTGTGCAATGATGCAGTAGGATTTTTAAATAAGAGTTCCCATTTACCTCAAACTCTGGAAAACACACTTAACTCTCAATATTTCCTGAAGGTAATGGAATGTTTCTTTGTCCCTTTGAAAACATTACCTTTAAGGCAATGAGCAAAACAAGGAAACCCTCTAAACGGCTGATTGGGAATCTAAACTGAAGCCAAGACACATATTGAAATTAGAGCTACCAAGCCATGGTAAGGACACATGGCTTGATTTCTGTTTTTCTCATTAGATGTCATACATGTGTTTCCTGTTGTGCTTACTAAGAAGAATATCTTATATCAGGTCACATTTCCTACAAATACCAACCAAGAACTAATTTCCCAGCTTGCAAATTAACTTTTAAATGTGATTGTACATCACATTGTAATAGGAAAAGGAAAGGTTATTTAATAAATGGTGCTGGGCAATTAATTAACTACTTGGGCTTCACTTCGCATTGTGGGAAGCAGAAAGCAAGAAAGGAAGGGAGGGGAAGGGAAGAGAAGGAAGAGAGAGAAAGAGAAAAAAAGAAAGGAAGGAAGGAAAGGCAGGGAGGGAGAGAGGGAGGAAAGGAGGGGGAAGGAAGAAGGAATAAGAAAAGGAGGACGGGAGACAGGGAGGGAGAGAAAGAGGGAGAGGTAGAGAAGAAGGAAGGAAGGAGAGAAGAAAGGAAGGAAGGAGGGAAGGAAGAGAAAGGTAAGAAATTCCAGAATGGTTAGGGAAGCAAATGTTAAGCATAAAACCACAAGAAACAGAAAAATTGGGGAAAATGTTTATTTTAGGACTCCTGTTTTCTCAGTTACAAAATAAACCACAAAAGTGACTTAGGTACATAAAAATGGAAAGAACAAACCACTGTCAAAAATAGCCAATTAACAAAGAAGCAAACAATAAAGTGGGAAAACATGTGTTTCAAATAGGACAAACTAGGGATTCACAGCCTGAAAGTATAAAGGATCGCTAGAAATACGTAAGAAATATCTTAAGATCCCAACAGCTTGAAGAAAACCGCCAGAGGCTTTTGCTCATAGTTCTTTCAAATAGATACTGAAAATGAGATGAAATATTTCACTTCACTGGTAAGCAAAGAAACGTAAACTGAAATAAGATGTTATTTTGACTAAACATACTGAGTAACAAGGATTTTGTAGAATAAGAACATTCACACACAGTATAAATTGGTGAAGTTTTTCTGGATAAGTTTGGCCGTACATATTGAAGGTGTCCAAAAAGTTCCTAACTTTTCCAGTTATTTTCATTATAGAAACCTATCCTGTGGAAATTGTCACGTATGCATATTATTATTCTAATGCTACTCATGATGAACAATCCAAACATCCAATTGTAAAGAATGACTGTGTAATAATCCCCAAACCAGCAGGATCAGCATCACCAGGCAAATTGTTAGAAATGTACATTCTTGGCTCCATTCGACACCTATTGACTCAGAAACTCTTAACTGTGCACCAAGCATTCACAAAGCCTGCAAGATAATTTTGACGCATACAAAAACTTGAGAATCACTAATGCAACGGAATATTAATGGACATTCAAAATGTTTTCGAAGAACACAACATGGAAAAATTTGTAAAACGTAATATTAACTAAAGGAGAATAAAATTTGTTCACATTTAATATGATCATGGGAATGATGTATAATATGACTTCCATTTTGTAAATACATATAAGTGTATATCATATTTGTAAAATCAAAATCATTCATGTATGTGTATATTCACATAAACATGCATACCAGCAGAATAAAATGCTATTCTCAGTATATCAGAGGAGGTGACTTTGAATTACTTTTTCTTTTAATCTCTATGTACTTTTCCAAATTCTCTTCTATTACTTTTTCTTTGCATCGTTATGTACTTTTCCAGATTCTCTTCTATGATGACATATTATTTTTTCCTATCAATAAAAGATCTTGGCCACAAACATTTTCACATGTATATGTAATGTTCAAGGCCCCAAGTTTCCTGTAACCCTAAATGTTTATTCATCTTTCATGATGACATTGGTTTATTGCAAAGAGAGACCCCTTCTTCAATAGCAGGTGGTGTTTTATCCGTCAAGAAAACAGTAAGATGTGGTACTTGGGTTGACCTCGCCACAGGCAGGATGTGGCTGCCAGAGCAGAACTATAGGTCTTTGAGCAACAGGCACATCCTCCTCCCACTAGTTCTTTTTTTAGCTTACGGCGACTCCCAGGATTCTGACATTAACCAAAAGTTCACGTCTTCTTTGTATTGCTATCATACCCGCTTCTTTCACAAGCAATTCTCACAATAATCTTAGTAGAGAGAACAAGGCATAGAAATTATGGAAATATTAGGCATTAGAAATTTCAAATAACCAAGCCAAAATGTTCTAGCAGGGTGATATCAAGAAGAAGTGATAAACAACAGTTATTTATCTTTCTATGTTAAACATTATCTGTCTCTTGTTATCTCAGAAACCATCAGAATTTCTTCTCTGGTTGACTTCAATTTGCAGCTATTTGAGCACATAGAAGGTTCAACCTGTTCTACTAGTACTTGGACAAGGTAGTGGATCTAACATTCTTTACAATGGTCTTAAAAGCTCTTAAGTGTCGGAAACATTTTAATTGTCATAGAAAATAAATATCGTAGCGTGTGTCTCCTTACTTGTCTAAATCACTGGAAGAAAGACAACTTCTTTTTTTGCTTCCTGCTCATGTTAACACAGCAAGAAGGTTAGGGGACAGTCCCAGCTGCACCACATGACAGCTGCCCTCAATTAGGGTATTTAAGGGCTTAAGAAGAGGTATCATTCAGTTTGTATGTGATGATCTTCTTCAGCCTCCGTAGTTTTACGTTGGAGGAACTCTGTGGGCAGAAATACAGCTCCATTCCTTAGGCAGGTGCAAGAATTGCCATGATTTGAAGGAACAGTGGTGTGTTAAACAACAGTGACATTCTAAAAGAAATACCCTAAAGTCTCATAGAAAATGGGAATGAAAGACTATAATTTTATATAGCAAACTTGAGAGTTAAATACACTTACTAAGCCTGCTTAATGGCAACGGTGTTAGATTTCCTATCTGTTATTCAAAATACATGGATTTATGAGTAGGATCAGAGACTGATTTTGAAAACCTGAAATTCCTCAGATGATGGTTCATGTTCTGTGACATGTAGATGCTATCACCTGAATGTTATGTCTCTGCCCTCGGGTTTTATTACCAAGGTCATTTTTGTGACTTCCTACAAATGTGCTTTGTGTCTCTGAGATATACTTATAAATGTTTGACTAAGTTTGGAAATAGGCAGAAGGTTTTCAAAAGAAACCTATGTGATGTATGGAAACTGAGTGCAATGTGTAAATGCTGAAGATAAGGTGACCGTACAGAAAATAGAACAAAAATAAATACAGCAAGGATCAGGGTGGAAAGCCCAGTCAAAAATGAGAAACTTCAAACACCTGTGTTTTGTCAACAGTGGCTTGGCAGCTAGAATAGGAAGGACAGAGGAAGTTAAACCCATGCTGCCTTCTAGAAGTCAACTACAAAAAATGAACCCCTAGGACCAGATGGTTTTATGGCTTTGGTAAACAATAGATTGGCATAATGCTTCCTCAATAATTCTGTCAGGAAGTGTTGAGCTAGAATACAACGTACAATTGTGCCTTTTTTGAAAACCAGCTCTCTGAAAGGCCAGCTGGTAATTAGGGAGAAACTGAAATGTTGGGAAGAACAGAGTATGTAATGAACTATTATCAGACCATCTTGACTACAAGGTAATTATAAATACCAATATGTCTGGAAGTCTTAGGTCTCCCCTGGTGGCCATATTATAAACTAATTATCATACAGGAATGAGGGCTTCTCTGATTTCAGGCACCACCTCCCTAGGGTTTCCTTGTTTGTTCTGATTTGTAGCTTCCTTTGAGTTTTGTTTCTAAGGTTTGGGTGACTGCTATTTGGTTCCTCTTCAAGAAGAACCAACAGAGCACTTAACACTGAATTCTTTTCTAGTATACACATGAATCACTACTCCCTATCGATCTCAGGATGTGGGATCCCCATACACCTTTTGAACAAAATCCTCTGTTTTCACATGTGGATAACAACCCTCATCTACTTCATTCATTCAACTGATTTAATTGAAACAATTATTCCCACAGGTGATTTCTCCACATGCAAATACAGATTTCTACTTTTCAACACTTGAAGCAGAAAATGGGCCAGGGGAATAATGCACCACTAACATCCACCTCTTCTGCGCTCCAAACATGGCAACAGTCCTCTCCCCACTGGTAAGTACTAAAATATTGATGTTAAAAGACAGGGCGGGGGCTTCCCTGGTGGTGCAGTGGTTGAGAGTCCGCCTGCCAAAGCAGGGGACACGGGTTCATGCCCCGGTCCGGGAAGATCCCACATGCCGCAGAGCGGCAGGGCCCGTGAGCCATGACCGCTGAGCCTGCGCGTCCGGAGCCTGTGCTCCGCAACAGGAGAGGCCACAGCAGTGAGAGGCCCACGTACCAAAAAAAAAAAAAAAAAAAAGACAGGGCTTGCAAACTCAAAAGCATCCAGGTGGGTAATATAACTACAGATGATGGTGAAGGGAGTAAAGACTAACAAAAGGGAATGTTGGCAACTGCGGTGAAGTGGCAAGCCTTTTCTAAAAAGAAGTCAGCAGCTCTCCAGCTCCAGAAAATTGTTGCCATGTAATAAATAAAATCATCTCCTGGATTTTCAAGAAAAGTAAAATTAATTTTTTTAAAAAAATCTCAATTTTATGAGCATATGGGTAATTTTTCAAAGTTAGCAACGAAGTTTAAATTTTAATGATATTGTAAGGGGCAAACAAAGCACTTCTGTGAGCAATATTTATCTTACAAATTACCAGGTTTGAACCCTACCTTAGTCTCGAAGGCAGGGCTGTCCAATAGAAATACAGTGTGAGTTACATATGTGATTTCAAATTTTCCGTTAGCTCCATTAAAAAGTAAAAAGAAACAGATACAATGAATTTTTATATTTTATGTAACCTAGTTATCCAAAATATTGTCATTTTTCAGATGTAATCATTATAAAAATTATTAATGAGCTATTTTACACTCTTTTTGTGTGTTGAGTCTGAAATTTAGTATGTATTTTATACATACAGCACATTTCACTTTTTACTGGCCTCAGTTCAAATGCTTAAGAGCCATATGTGGCTAGTGGCTCCATATTGGACAGCACAGGTCTAAGGCTTAAGAGTACCTGCTCTTACATACATATACACAGTTGGCAAGTCCTTGGTTAGAAGAAATGTCATGGTCTTTGGGCACCAGAGCTCATCCTGTTCATGCCCAACAAGCGACTGCTGCCATTTTGGCAACAGCCAGTTGCAGCTGCCAGAGTAGTTGCAGGAGACAGACAGGAAGGGCCGTTCACGGGATATGTTTTCCCAAGGAAACAGTGTAAGGGACTTTGAATATTGCTTGACTTATGTGAACCGAACTCATAGGAGTGTCTTGGGAAGTCACTTAATGCATATAACCTTTCATAATATTGTAAAAAATAAGAATTCCTCCTTTGCTTGTGCACATCTAGTAGAAGCCTACTACCTAGTTATTACCTTTGTTATTACTGGATTATTTTAAGTTATAAAGTCTCTTGTATCAGGTGAAAAAACAATTTGACTTATTCTAGAACAAAATTCAAGTGGAGAAAACAACGGGGAGACAAATGTTAATTCAAAAATGAAACAAATCAATCACAAGAAAATAAGAAAAACAGCAACTTTCTAAGTTATTCAAAAATTGAATGTATTTCCTTCAGTTCCTTTTATCTAGAGGTGTCCAAGCAATAACTGTACAAATAATTGGTGAGTTTATTGTAGCACATCCATTGCATGACTGGATAATTTTTCCTGCCCTGAAATCTGTGATAGGTATAATAATAATAAATGTATAAAATACACACATGTGCATACATATTCTCAAAATTCAGATAAATATTATAACATTGTATGTGTTATTTTGAAATTTGAAATGTTACTATGTTGTGTTAATTTGCATTTTTCTATTATCAGTGAAACTGAGCATATTTGCATGTTTTTAGCAATTTAGATTTTCCTTTTTGTGAGTTGCTCGTTCATATTCTTTTCCCATTTTCCTATTACATTCTTGTCTTTTCCTTATTGAGCTTTCAGATACAAATAATTGTGGGTTGTATGTGTTGTACATATGTTCTCCCAGTTTCTGTCTTATAGTTTTACTCTTTTTAGGTCTCTTTTGAGGAACAAATTTCTTAATTTTAATTTTCAATCTTTCTCTTTTATGATTATTGCTTTTATACTTGTTTAACAAATCCTTCCCTACTTTGAAGCCATGAAGATATATTTTATTCTTAATATTTTGTTCATTTTTTCTTTTGTATTTGTCTTTCATCTACTTGGGATTGATAATTGTATGTGGTGAAGGTAGGAATCCAATTGTGCTTTCAGGTACCAACTTGTCACAATTCTGTTTACCATTATTTCCCTGCTGAATTGTCTAGTAAGTGTTCAATTGTGTACCTATCCTTGGCTCTCTTTAATGGTCTTTTGGTCTATTTGTTGGTCCTTGCTCCAATCTGAAACTGTCTTAATTTCTATGAATTTATGTCTTGATGTCTAGTACAGCAACTTCTCCCAGATGTTTCTTCTCATGGGTGCCTTGGTTATTCTTGTCCCTTATCATTTCATATAAATTTTAGAATATGCTTGTTAAGTTCTAGAATGGGAGTGAAGGGTTGGGTTTGGGGCTTGGTATTTGGATTTGGGTTGCACTGAATCTACAGATTGATTTGAATTGACCTAACAACTTTTATTAAGTCTACCAGCGCATGTGTATGGTATGTCTCCACTTATTTAGGCTCTTCTAATATTCCTCAATAAAGTTTCTCCATACAGATTTTGTATTTCTCTTACTAGATTTATTTTTAAATACTGCACTTAAAGAATTAATAGACTTTAATTTTTAGAGCAGTTTTAGGTTCACAAGCAAAACTGAGCAGAAGGTACAGGGATTTCCCATCTACCTCCTGCCCCAACACATATATAGCTTTCCCCATTATCAACATCCCCCAATAGAGTGGGGAGTTACAAGTGATGAACCTACACTGACACATCATTATTACAAAAAGTCCAGAGTTTACATTAGGGTTCACTCTTTTTTGTGTGTGTGATACGCGGGCCTCTCACTTTTGTGGCCTCTCCCATTGCGGAGCACAGGCTCCGTATGCGCAGGCTCAGCGGCCATGGCTCATGGGCCCAAGCTGCTCCGTGGCATATGGGATCTTCCCGGACCGGAGCACGAACCCGTGTCCCCTGCATCGGCAGGTGGACTCTCAACTACTGCGTCACCAGGGAAGCCCTAGGGTTCACTCTTGATGTTGTACTTTCTATATACTACATATGTTTTAATGTGATGGGAAATGTTGTATTTTAATCTCATTTTCTAATTGCTTGTTGCTGGTATCGAAATGCAAATTGATATATATTAATTTTTTTATCTTACAAGTTCGTAAACTGTTAGTAATCCTAATAATAATAATACAGATTATTTTGGAGATTTAAAAATATATACAATCATGTTATCTGCAAATAATAACAGTTTTTGTTTTTCTTTCTAATCCTTAAACTTTATTTCTCTTGTTTGCATGTCTGTGGTGGTCATATGTAGGTCAGCATTACTTGCCTGTTATACAGAAGTGGTGACAGAGGCATGCTTATTTTGTTCCTAATCTCAAAGAGAAAGCTTCTAATGTTTTCTTATTAACTACATTGATTGCCATAGATTTAAGAAAATTGTCATTTATTCTTAGCTTGCTAGAATTTATTTCATGAAACAATATTGAATTGTATGTTTTGTCATTTGGTGATAAGATCATTTGATTTTCCTGTTTCTGTGTTTGTATGGTGGATTACATTAATTGATTTTCAACTATTAACCCCTGATTCATGGGATATGTGAAATTTATTCATGATGCATTATCCTTTTCTATGTTTCTGGATTCAATTTGCTACATATTTTGTTTAGAAATTTTTCATTCACATTCATGAGTTAGCCTGTCATTTTTCTTTTTTTTTCCTCCTGCCATTTTGAGATTGAAATTATGCACATCAAGATATGAAGTAATGCTAACACTAGGGGAGCATTAACTCTTTTTTTGTCTTTTAGATGACAAAATTGGGATTCTTTTTAAAAAAACATTTTATTTTGAAATAAATTCAGACTTCCAGAAAAATCACAATAATAGAACAAAATCTTGTATATGCTTCACCCAGTTTCAGTTTCACTAATTGTTAACATATTGCCACAGTAGCTTAATCATTGTCTATTTTTTTCTGAGCTATCTGAGAATATGTTGCATATATAATGAAGTTTTATTCCTAAAACTTTCACCACATATTATGTAAGAAGAAGAGCATTTTGTTACATCACTAGAGTACAATTAGCAAAATTAGGAAAATTAACATTGTTAAAATTGTCTAATATTTAGTCCATAATCAAATTTAGTCAATTATCCCAATAATGTCCTTTATAATATACATTTTTTCTCTCTGATTCAGGATTCAATCCAGTATCACGAATTGTATTTAGTTGTTGTGTCCCTTTAGTCTTGTTACTTGAGAAGCTTTTCTTTGTATTTCAAGATTTTCTTTGTATTTCGAGAAAATTTTTTCAAGATTTTCATTAATAATTTTTTAAGGTAGTGGCTATTTTGTAGAATCCCTTATAATTAAAGCAGGAATTATTTCTTCCCTGAATGTCTGTAGAATTTACTGATGAAGATCTACAGCTGGGTTTGGAGGTCTCTTTGTGGGATGATTTTCAATGATTGATTCAATTTCTTTCTTTTTTCTTTTTATAAATTTATTTTATTTATTTATTTTTGGCTGTGTCGGGTCTTTATTGCTGCGCGTGGGCTTTCTCTAGTTGCAGTGAGTGGGGGCTACTCTTTGTTGCGGTGTGAGGGCTTCTCATTGCAGTGGCTTCTCTTGTTGCAGAGCATGGGCTCTAGGTGCATGGGCTTAAGTAGTTGTGGCACGTGGGCTCAGTAGTTGTGGCGCATGGGCTTATTTGCTCCGTGGCATGTGGGATCTCCCTGGACCAGGGCTCGAATCCATTTCCCCTGCATTGGCAGGTGGATTCTTAACCACTGAGATACCAGGGAAACCCTGACTCAATTTCTGTTATCAATATCAATATCATAAAACTATGAAAGATATTTCTCTGCCCTTTACTCATTTTGTTTAAATTTTCTAGGGATTTATCCATTT